AAACATTTACAGTATAATCAGGTACATGACAGAGTCCACCGAATGGACATACAAGGCTACGGGGGTTCTGCAGGAATCTGAGCTCTGCCATCCATGGACTCCTTATCTACAGCATTCAAAGCCCAGAAGTTCAGCTGGAGAACAGCCCATTTATACTTTTAAATGTAAGTTATATATAAACAACAGATCCATCACATCACAGAAAAGGAGATTCTTTTTTGTGTACTAGTATGAAACACCCATTACCATTTAAGCTGGTTATGCTAACTGTGGTGTTTGGAGGCACATATGGAAGCATTTGTTATTTGTATGTCTCTATTCACAGCAAGACTTTTACTTTCTTGTTTATCAGCACTTTTGATAATTCAGCACAGCTCTAAGTATGTCAAGTCAGTCAAGCACATCTCTGGAACAGTGCAAGGGAATTCTGTATCAGTAGCCTAACCTTGGTCCCTGATAGGAATGAAATAACTCTCCAAATGAAAACAAATTACTTTGATTTAGAGACCAAGAATGTTGCAAAACTGAATAAAGCCTATTACTTTTTGTTGGATAAAATCTATTACATTATACTCATGGTCAGCTTTTACTATGCACCATTTAACCCAGAAACTAAGCAAGAATTGCCCTGGAAGATGAGCAATCTTAAGAGAAAGCTTTATTCTCAAGCTGGGTTGTTTGGCTGATTGTCTTCACCACTTACAGATAAATCACTAGCCCTAGAAATCTCTGCAATGATGAAATCTACAGTTGTGATCCTGCTGTTTAAGTTTTCTTTGTGTAATAAAATTTCAAATTGATTGGTAGGTAACCTTGGAGGGTATTTATTTTAACTTAGAAATAAACTTTTAAATTGCTTAAAATTGATCGCATAATTTTAGTGAGAGCTCTGCTATATCCAAATGGTAAGGTAAATTTATGACATATACAGATGTTTTCTGTCAAAAAAAAAGAGCTTTTGCCACAGAAGAATAATTTTAAAAAGCATACATATACCACTGACCTTAGAAGACCAGTTAGCAAGCTTCAGCATCCCCAAGGTGCCCTACGCAACATGCCAGACACACTTAGGTGAATTACCAAGACCAATCCAGACCATCTAGTGTATCTGGATGACCCTTGCAAACATTTGACTTTGAAATACCAGGAACATCAAATATATGGTACCTGGTATTTCATGGGACAATTGAAATGTAGTAAGCAAGTGAAACCCTCAAAGCAATTTTGATATGGTCTTGGGCTTAGAGCCAAGGAGTCTTACATAGTTCAAGTTCATTAAGGGCACAGCTCAGTTGCCTAAAGGCAGATGCCATCATGTAGCTTGTCCAGCATCAAGCTGGTGGTCCTGAAGGACATCATCTCCCACAGATGCTGCTAACCCTGCTAAATGCTGGAGTATCTCAGATGGCATAAAGCCTTGACACTGGGTGTCTGAGTTCAAACTAAATAGCACTGCATAGCAACCCAAGTCAGCTTAAAAACACAACTGCTGATACATATGCTTGTGGAGCTAGCAGGAACTTGGTCACCCACCTCACCGTGGGAGGCACAAGGCAAAACAATAATCACAATATTAAAATACATATAGGCAAAATTAAATGAACCAATGCAAAGCAGCAGGAAGCAGAAAAGGAAAATAAAAACACACAAATCCTCTAAGGAGAACAAGCTTGATCAACAACATTAAAAAAAAGAAACACTACTCATCATACAATTATATCTGAACAGTTTATTTCTGATGATGATACTTCTGTTTGTTATTATCAAAACGTTGTTACTGAGAGACTACCAAATACTTTAATGTTAGCAAAGCCTAGTGTAATGTGCCCAAGCACAGAAACTGTGAAGATCATTCAGTCACTACCACTATACTATTATCCTTCAAGTTTTCTCCTACTATAGGACTTACTTTTAATGTTTCATTTGCATTGCACTATCAAATCATGGTATGTATCTCCTACCTCTAGCACTATGTATGCAGGCACAAACAGGCAGACAATCCCCACCTTGACCACTCCCCAACAAGCCAAAAATCCACCTTCCCCAACAAGCCAAAAATCAACAGGCAGGAGAAATGAACAGCAGTAGTCATGATGAAGAAATTAGAACAGACAATGATCTCAGTATTTTAAGCAGCCTAGTCACATCCCAGTTTCTAGTGGTGTTACAGAATGGTAGGGTTTGAAGAAGGTCAGGGAGCTGATGGAAAATACAGTTAAAAGTAAGGCCTCAGCTGCATGGGGCAAAGTACCCAAGGTGCTTGCTGAGAAATGCAGTAGAAGGGTTAAAGAGGTCAGTGGTGCTTGCAAAGCAAAGGTGGGTGTCAACACCTTAAAAGCACATGAGAGTTATAAGGCAGGCACAGAGTAATGATTTAATAAAGCGTAAGAGATGTTGACTCGTGTGCATTAGAAAGGTGCATGTGAAGGGAAGCGTTCCGGGCTGGAAACAAACATTTGCATTCAGTTTGGATCATCTTCCCACTTCCTTAACCCTTGAGTTTTAGCAGTAGCTCAGGAAGGAGTACGATGGCTGTGGACCACGTGCTGTGGTCAGATATAAACATACAATAATCCCCAAACACCAGAGTTCATGCTGTCCCACTTCAGAATTCACTCTCCCCCTTTATCCCATGAAAATACATCATCAGCTATTTAAGCACAGCATGCTCTTAAAATCTACTTTAAGCCACCACAGAAAACTTCCAGTCTCCTTCTTTTTGTATCCCTCTTTCTGTTGCCAGGAAATGGGTAGAAAGATAGTGAGTGTTCTCCAGGTGACAGCAAGAGCAGCATGAACATGAACTCTCCTGACAGCAGGAAAGAGAAGTGCTGCTCATTCCCCAGCATGGTGGCACCAGTACATTTTGGTGGGTGGGGAGATACTGAGCTCTCCACTAGGCATTTTTTTCTTCCATTAAATTGGAATCTCATGCCAATCTGTAACTAAAAACCTAATCCAATCTCAATTAAACAAATCTCAAAAAGTGTAGCTCCAGGTGAGGTAAAATATTCAAGCTTTCCAATAGTTCTCCACTGAAATAATCAGAAAAGCAGCTGTAGTATTTTCTAGGCATTCTTAAGTTGCTATTAGTAAGTCAATCATAAAAATGCTACTTGTTCTGTCAGTATGAATTCACAAATATTTTCAAAACCATGCTTAATCCTAATATTTAAGGACCACAGAGCTGCAACAGATGCTTTTATTATTATAGGTTGCCCTCTAATTTTGGCCACATTGTTCTTCCATAAAACATGCACCCAAAGACAATAATGCACATGCAGCCATTGTAACTTTCACCTCTGCCTCTCTTCTGCATTCCCTGATGGATCAAAGAGTATAAAGGAAGAATTAAAAAAGTTGCACAAGTGTCCCTGCACAGGGGGCTGTTGACCTGTGAGCCAGAAAGTCCCTTATTCACCTCTGCCAGGCTCAACTAATAGCTCCTGCTGTTTGACACAAAATCAGGTTTCAACTCCAGCATTACCATCCCATTGCCATAAATCGACCTGACATACAGAGTTGCCTTTAGACCACAGGATCCATCCCAGCCTGATTGCCTAAACTGGGGAGAGGATGGGGCACATTCATGAACAGTGGTCAGTACTATCATTCATTTTTCCAGTATGGCATCATTCAGCATGTCCAACACTACTACTACTTGTAAGCCTCAGAGCATTCCTCAGCCTTTTTCAAGTAACAGTATTCCTGACGAGGCTCAGCCTTGTAAAAAAAGGCGTGTGTGCTGAGGTGGGATAAATTAAGGCATAAACATTGCTTCAGCCATACAACCCCCACCCAGAGGGCTGGGAATGAGTTTTTCTTTCACTGTTAATTCTAGCTTCTACAGAAGCACTAACAGCCAACTCAGGAGGTACAGTATTTGCATGGAAGGTATGGCTTGTAGTGGAGAGAGTGCCAAACACCTTCTGCTTCCTTAATTTTAGTTCCTTAGTTTTAGGTTTACTATGAAAAAAATAGCCCACCCTGCTGCACAGTTTATTTAGTCCAGAGTTAAAGAAGAGGGAAGAAAACACCGTGGGATGGTTTCTACACACAGAAAGTTCACATCTGATATTTGGCCTCTGGACAGATGCTGCTTCCATGCCAAGTCACACTGATTTTGGTGAGATTCCAAACACAGGCTAGAAAGAAGCTTTAAGGCTCTATGCTATAAAAGGCTAGAATCTAGTTTTAAGACCATTATAATTTTTCTCTTTTTTGTCCATTTCCCTCTAACCTACGTTGTCCCTGCCCAAACATACACAAGCTGGACAATTATAAGGGATGCTACACTGCTGGACTGTTTACTGACTTTCTGAAACCAGCTCTGACAAACTTTGGGACAATTACCTAAGTGTCAACCATAGTTCATACTGGACGACCCCAGTATTACATTTTAAACTGTATTTTCCAGTTTCTTCCACCTCAGTCACCTTGATGTGATGTGTACCCTTCTTACTGCATTCTGAAGATCTTAAAATACCTTGAGAACTCTTCATGTCACAAGTTGCAGCTAGTGATTTGAAACGGACAGTACTGAGTACATTCCTGCCCGTATTCTGGGTCACAGCCCCACCGTGAAGAGGGCAAAAGCAGAACCCCTGAGACCACGGAAACTAAACCCCCTGCACATCCTTTTCCTTTAAAACTACAGAAACCTCAAGTAACCCAGCACAGGGGAAAACTATGGGGGAGTCCACCTTGCAAGCCAGTGGTTCTCCGGCTGGAGCGGTGCCCACACCTCCCAGGGCCCAGGGGACAGGCAGCGAAGCCTTCCGCCCCCCTGCGGAAAGCTCTGTCCTGTCCCCCCGCTGCCCGCAGAAGGAATGAGGAACCAGAGGCAGGTTTGTTTGGGGTGCTAATAATCAAATCACCTTAGCCAGGCTGGACTTTTGGCTGCCAGATTCAAATGCCACCTACAACAGGAGCTCCCCAGGACTCCTGGAGGATGGGAGGGTAGCAAACCCAGGCTTCCCCAGCGGTCCCCCGCACCATACCTTGACAAAAAGGGAGATGTCGTGTTCCTGCTTCTCCTCGTCCTCCTCTTCCTCCTTCAGGGCGGCCGGCGAGCCCGTCTCGTCCTTCTCGTCCTCTGCCCGGCCCTGCACGCCGTTCAGGCTCCGACCTACCGCGTCCCACTCGCCGCCCTCAGGGTCCGGCGACCCGCCGTGCTGCCCCACCGCGCCGCCTCCCCCTGCCCCCGGGGCTACGCTCCCCGCTCCTGCCACCGCCAGGACACCGGCTCCCCGCTCTGCCCCCGGTGTCTCCGCTCCGTCCTCGCCGTCGGGGCCGCCCC